AGATTTTTAGTTGTCCAGATAATTTCTTTCTATTTTTAGTAGAGACGGGGTCTCGCTCTTGCTCAGGCTGGTCACGAACTCCTGACCTTGAGCCATCCACTATACTATTGTTTTTGTATATAGCACGTCTATAAACATAACAATAGAGTGTTTCACTTTTTCTTTAAATATTTTTAGTTGTCCAAATAATTTCTTTCTATTTTTAGTAGAGACGGGGTCTCGCTCTTGCTCAGGCTGGTCTCGAACTCCTGACCTTGAGCCATCCACTCGCCTCGGCCTCCCAGAGTGCTAGGATTACAGGCGTGAGCCACCGCGCCCGGCCTGCTGTAAATTATTTGACTATAGTTTTCTGTGGGTTTAATCTTTTACTCTTGTAAAGCCTAATAAATCTCACTCCTTTAAATCTCACTTGACACTGACTCATTTTACTCAGGTATATTTTTAAAAATACTTTCAATAAAGAAACCGTTCTAAGGAAACTGATAAATTGTTAGCTTTAGAATAATTGCATACAAAGACCTGAATGTTGTCCTTTTCTGTTACAGCCCACAAGGAGATACATTCCCAGCAAGTTAAGGAGCACAGGACGGCTGTTTTGGATTTCATTGAAGATTACTTAAAAAGTATTTCATTTTCTTCTTAAAGGTCAAATGTGGCATTTCACAATAGATGTGATACAGAATTTAGCTTTGGTAGCTGAAGATGATAGTACCTCATTACATTTAATGATACCTTTGCCTGTGAAGCCATTTTAAATGGTCTCTCTTCTGGTATTTTCCCCTGCAACAGGAGTTTGTAAGCTTTACTCAGAACAAAGAGCCATCCGAGTTAAAAGAGTGGTGGATAAGAAAAGACTGTAAGTATTGCCTTCATTGGTGTTTCTTAATTATGATAATAATAGCAACTAAAGTTTATAGTACACTTAGCCTATGCAATGTACCGTGCTTGGAATTTCTTCACAAAATGCCATAGCTGGTGCTTATGGAGCACTTACTGTGTGCCAGGCACCGTGTGAGCCGGGTTGAGCCAGATGCTGTTAACACCCTCATTTTACAGATGAGGAAGCTGAGGAACAGGTTTGGTAACTCACACAAGGCCTTGTGGTCTGGAGGTAGTAGTGCTGGGATCTGAGCCAAGGCTGCTGGTCCAGAACAAGAGCACATCTGTGCTCTTGCCCGTTTTGTTTCCCCATAACCGTGTGAGGCTGCTACACTTTGAGCTATTTTACCTCAGTCTTTTTGCCCCCTACACCCTTCCTTATTATCTCTGAAAGTATATTCCGGAGGGGAGAGCTAGGGCACAGCCACCATGCCCCCGTAAGGCTTTGCTCATCTAACCAGTGGCATGTTACCTACCCTGTCACCGCCCGCCCCCGACTCCGATAGAGACTTGCTAGATGCCACGTGCTCTGGGCATGTACTGTACTCCAACCCCACCACCCACTTTGAGCAGGCAGGTGAGGACACTGACACTCCAGCAGGTTAAATGACTCGTCTAAGACCACACGGCCAGGAAGCAGCAGGGCCAGACTTCAGTATTTCCCACTGCACCTGCCTCTTCACCTGTCTTCCTTTTTGGGCTGCACATGAGCTCCTAGAGCACAGGGACTGTTCACATGGTCGCTTCCCCTGCAGCGACCTTGGAGATTGAATAAATCAACTCATTTCGTTCTCACAACCACCCTATAAGGTAGGTACTGTTACTAAGGAAACTAAGGCACAGAGAAATTAAGCAAGCTGCTCAAAGTCACACGGCTTGTAAGTGGCAGAGCCAAGATTCAAAAACAGGCTGTCTGGCTGCAGTGTCTGAGCTCTCAGGCACTATGCTATGCCACTTGGTGGTACCATTTCCCCCTCTGAACTTACTACAGATCTCACTAATTTCAACATATTCTGATTAAGTTGGCCAATTTTTCATGTTTATATAGTAACACAGCCTGTCTCCAAGCTTCCTGTGAAAAGAGACTTTATCAAGTGCTTCTCTCAAACTTACCTCTTAGTGCATTATATAATAAATAATAACTGTTTGCTGATAGATAACTTGACTGATCTACTTACCATCTTCCACAAATGCTTCTGTTTGTTGGCATTTATAATTTCGAATCTGTTTCGCAGGTATGTAGAAAAGTTCACACAGCAGGCCTGAGACTGCTATCTTTAAGATCTGTTTGCAAGGTTAACCCTTGCCTGGCATCTGAGAACTTGGATGTCAGGAGGGTTCATACCATCCTAACTGATAAGTGCAGCTCACTGTACCTGAATTGTTTGTGCAAACAATGTGGTCCAATGCTGAAAACACTTGTAGTGAGTTAATAAATGGTAACTTGTGCTATTACCTCGAATACCATTAAGCACTTACACTGAGCCAGGCAGTATGTTAATTTATTTCATTTAATGCTCACAACCACCTTATTAATAAATGTTAGTATCCCATTGTATAAATGAGTAAATCAGGACTTAGCTTATTTGGGTTAGCCATACAGTGTCACAGCTAGGCTAAGATGTGAACCTCAGCGTAATCGGAGCGGGTTTCTCCAGCAATGGGGTTGGTGTTGGCTGTAGAAAGAGAAATATCTAAGTGGGTTAGAGAGATAGAAAACCGCCCAGGCTCAGGGAGGAGTATGAGCTGAGTGCCTGAGACACAGTGGGACCAGTTTGCCCTGAGCAAGTCATGGAGGAGAAGGCAGAACTCTGATGATGTGTGATTTACCACCAAAATGGCATGGTAAATAGCCTCACACTCACCACCAGGGGAAAGAGATGCAAATTTCTGCTTCATTTAGGACACTCAAGGCTTTACAGGTACCCCAAGTAAAAAAAGAAGAGACTTTTGTTGCTACTTCCTTAGTTCCTGGATCTCAGCAGAGGTTTTGACTAAAATACAAATTTAGATCAGTCAGGTGGGAATTGTTCTCATTTAGAAAGTGAAGTAGAGCCTTGTTTCCTGCCAAATAGCTGCCCTGTGCCAATTACTTTGAGCAAAACATCTCAAGGGAAATAACTATGTGACCTTTCACAGTGTCGTCCAGCTCTCTCCTTTTAGTGTTTTCCTCACCTTTAGGCAGAAGGCATCTGCCTAAATGTACGTGCATTTTTATCTCTCCCTTTCTTCCCATGTCTCAGAAAGGTTAAACATTGCATGGCATTCACGGCCCATAATGCATGGACCACAGCCTCAGTTTCTTAGTGACTTACGCTCGGCCAGGCCATGCACAGCTACTTTTTGTCCTAAAGAGGCTTTGCTTTTGGAAGCTCTTGTGCCTTAACCCTTGCTACCTTCTCTGCCCAGAGTGCCTTTCACATACGCTGATGCCCTTCTTCCCTCACCCCGCTCTCACCCCATTCATCTGGCAGACTAAGTCTTGTTCATCTTTCCAGCCCAGTTAACACGTTGCTTCTCTGTGAAGTCTCTTCCAGCTCCCGCAGGCAGTGTCAGTGGCTCTTCTCTGAGTGGGTTCCCTGCGCAGTGTCCATGGTCAGGTGTACCCCATACATACTCTGACACAACCGCCCCTGGCTTAGCTGTCCCCTGCACCACCTCAGCCCCTTATACAGCACAGTGCCTGTCCCGTCCGTGCCAGCCTGTCCCGTCCGTGCCAGCCACTCTGGAGGGACTGCTGAATGAATGAATGGCAAGTTTCCTGAAGGTAGTTTGACAGTCAGTGGAGTTTATTCATTGTCAAGTTGGATTGGTGAGTTCTTATATTTGTTTTTGTATTATTATGTTTTAGTTGGTGATGATTATTATTAAAAGTATTTCTTATAAATTGATTTGAGAAACCCAAGTGTTTATGTTTTATGGCATTGTTGTTACTATCATGTTTGTTTTGTTTTTGGTGAAAGAAAAATGTTTGTTAGTTAAGGAGCAGCCTAATTGTTTACTTTAGATCTTTTAACAGTATAGGAAAAATGATATTCTCTGCTGGATGTTATTTTCATAGAATGATGATATCCTATTAATCTGCCCCACTAAAGGGTTCTTATTCCAAACTGGGTAAAATGTTTTGTTCAGTAAGCCGGAAATAGTCTAAGCTGACCTTTCTGCATTTCTCCTACCATGACTGTGTTTTATTAAAATGATAGTATCATCGTTAAATGTAAACCCTCTTCATCCATCTCACAGGCATCTCACTATTCGAACACGGGCACCTGCTGCAAGTTGTCTCGAGCTGGATATAAGGGATATTGATAACTATTATTGAGGTCTCTTTTTCCTGCAATAAGACTGGAAGTCCTTTGAAAGCAGGGACCACGGTATCTGGTTTTTTTATTTTTTTGACACAGAGTCTTGCTCTGTCGCCCAGGATAGAATGCAGTGGCGTCACCATAGCTCACTGCAACCTCAAACTCCTAGACCCAAGCAATCTTCCTGCCTCAGCCTCCCTAGTAGCTAGGACTACAGGTGCACACCGCCATGCCCAGCTTAATTTTCTATTTTTTTTGTGGAGATGGGGTTTCACTCTTGCTCAGGCTCGTCTCGAACTCCTGGTCTCAAGCGATCCTCCCGCCTTGGCCTCCCAAAGTGCTAGGATTATAGGCATGAGCCACCATGCCCAGCCCTCATTGCATCTTTCATCTCTCTGGTCCCAGTTCCTTGCTCAGAGTCTGCCACAAAGTAGGTGCTCAATTAATGGTTCTTGAATGAAGGAAAGAATGAATGAGGCACAGTTGCTTACCCCTGGTTCATCAGCTCCACATAGAGAACACCTATACATTGGAAAGGTTGTGGGCCAGTGACAGATACACACTGGGCACAAGTGGCCCTGTCATCACCAAAGGGTTTGAAATATGCCCTCTTTTTCTCCTGACCACCTTAAAGCACTAATATTTGGTTTATGATTTAAGTTGAAATAGCCATCAGATGCCCTTCTGGGTATATACTCTAATTAAAAACCATCTGAATTAATCAGAAACATTTTCCCTTTCCAGAATATAACCAGGTTGTATATCACGAGCTTTTTCTTAGAGAAGAGGTTCAAGGTGGGATCTGAAAATCAGGAGTAACCTCTGACACTTTTTCCCAAGGGCTCAGAGGATTTTCTTTCTGAAGGCGTAACAAACAAGACAGAAGCCCAGGGACAAATCCAACTAACAGTATAAAGCCTTTCCCTCCAAATGGCTCTTTCTTACTTCTCTGGGGTGTGTGTGGGTAGGGGGGTAGTTACATCTGAGCCTGCTTCTACCCATGGCTAAGCTTGCTTTAAAGTCTGCTGGATTCGGTCCATCATTCCAACACATCACTTCGACTTGTACATTGATGTTCTTAGAAGTAGAAACTATAGGCTGTTTCTGTCTTGAGGGAGAGTGAGAAGAATAAAATTTATTAGTCTGAAAGATAATGGTTTCTTCTAATGTTGGGTAGATTACAAAACAACCAGATCGTAAGGCTGGGCAACTTTATAGCACCTTTTGAGTTTATCAGTGTAGCTTTAAGTTAATTACCATAATATTAGCCCGTCCTACTATAAATTCTAAAAGGTAATATAAGTGAGAATTTCCTAAGATATTCTGAGGAAATCCTGGTGATCTCAATAAGGTTTACTATGAAAATAGTCCGGTAAGTTTGAGGAACAGTATTCAGAGTTCTCAGAGTCTTTCCGTTGCCACTGTGCCTTGATCTCGTCTTTTTAAGAGGGGGTAGGAGGACTGTTCCCAGCCTTGCTGACCGTGGAGCCCATTCTCTTGAAACATCTGACAGACACACTTGAGAAAATACTGCCTTAATCCCATGGCCAGGTATATGATCTTGAGTTAGTTATTACTTATTCCCTTACCTTGGTACAGAAGATCAAAATTTTGCTGCATTTTGTTTCTTCTCCTCCTGCTTTTTAAGAAAACATTGGTTCTCCTGTAACAC